GATGGATTAGAATTTCTCTTCCCTCTTAAGCAGATTTCCTCAGTAAAGTGAAGATGTGTCTGCTCTGGGGACAGCTCCTGAATCTCAGACATAGGCTGACTGTTCAGGTATTGCTGATATTTACTGGCTGTTCTCTAACAATTTTATATTAAATATAGAATTACCTATTCTTTTCAAAATGTTCCTGGAACACGCTGAAGAAAATTTCCTATTTCCAAAAACATAATTTATCTTTTTCACCATGGTAAGAGTCATAATTAATAAGGAAGAGACGTACAGCTTCTCAGGAGACTATTTAATTCACCAATCTGAAAGATTTTTTACTGTTTAGGGATTAACAGTAGGATGTGAATTCCGATATTTCAATACTCCAGCAACTGCTTAATGGTTTTTCCTGACTTTTACTTTTTCATGCTATTAGCAATTAGTCTTTCAGAGAGTAATGTTGAAAAGAAACATGAAGATAAGGAACACTAGAAAGTAAATTGAAAATTTTTTACACTCAAATAATTAATGCTTCCTCTGTTATCACTATTGTTGTCCATATAATGCCTTAAGTGGGCTCTGAATCTTATATTTCATGTATAATTAAAGTCTCAGCATAACAGGCATAGCTGCATTTCAAGTTTTATGGCATTGGGATTCAAGTTTCAACATCGCTTTCCAGTTTGTGGTCAACAAGACATAGTACAAAGCTGTCCTTCCAAAACACATGCTAACATGCTTTTAAAATGTATTTATTTTTCAGTAGCAGTGAGGAGAGAAGATGTGGAGACACTAAACTCCTTACTAATGTTCTCTCTAAGCTATTAAGATCTTAATTCTTGCAAGAGAAGACTTCTGATGAATGGCATAGTTATCTCCAACTTTAGAAGAGTGTAATAAAGATGAATATTTGAAACTGCTCTGCACTGCAGTAGCTTAGGCTTTTCTCACTGTCACATTTTATTTTAAGGAGCTTAGGTATCAAAGGAAAGACTGAGAAATGTGGCCAAGATAGATCTTTATTTATTTAGTGGAAATTGATCACCCAACAGACTATTTTGGGCTGAAAACAGGAGGTCAATACATTTTGCTAGTCAGGGCTAAATATTCAAAGCAGAGTATTTGGATGGTAATATGCAGGAACGTAAATGTTAAGCAAAAAGTGGTAACTGTTGTCTGATCTGCACTGTAGTAAAAATTGAAAAAATAAAATAAAAAATAAAATAAAATAAAATAAAATAAAATAAAATAAAATAAAATAAAATAAAATAAAATAAAATAAAATAAAATAAAATAAAATAAAATAAAATAAATAACAACAACAACAACAACAACAAAAAACAACTCCCTAATCCTTCTCTTAAAATCAGCTAATAATTACAACCAAAATTCAAAATTGAGGGTATTTGGGACTTTCAGCTGAGCTGCACGAACATGTAATATACTCTGACATTTTTCCTTATGACACTTAATTTCCTCTGGAAAAGCCTGCTTAAACACTTAGTTTAAAGCTAACATAATTTAAAATGTCAAAATACCTGACTATAAATTTACAGATTAACCTTAACATCATAAAACTTAAAGGACCAACAGTATATCAAAATATTAAATCTGACAAGGTATATAAGCTCTTCTCCAATGCATGAACTTTAGAAACAAATTCAGGCTAATGACCCCTGGGGGATATTACTGGTCACCAGACTCCAGGCAGACTTTGTGCCACTGACCATAGCCCTTACAGCCTGGCAGTTCAGCCTCATTTCAGTCCACCTCACTGGGCTCTTAAATGGCCTGTGCTTCACCAGTTTGATTTTGAGGATGTTACAGGAGGCTGTTGATAGCCTTGCCCAAGCTGAGAAAAAACACATCCATGCTCTCCCCCTGTCCACTGAGCTTTCTTCTCATGGCAGGCAATCAGGCTGATCCAGCATGACTGTTCCTTTGGAAATTCATGGCAACTACTCACTAAAATTTTACTGTATTTATGCTTGGTAATGTTTGCAAAGATTATTTACTCCATCAGCATTCCAAAAGACAAGATGAGGGTGACTGGCTTTGAAGCTTCCTGGATTCTCTTTCCAGACAGGAATGACTCTCTTCCTAACTTCCCCCCTCAGATTGTCCTGACCTTTCCAAGGGTATTGAAGGTGACCTTGTGACTCTGGCCTGTGAGCACTTGGTGAACCCCATGGATCTCCTGAGTTTGTGTTTATCCAGTGGCACCCTAATCTGATCCTCCTCCACCAAGGTTAAATCTTCCTTGTTCCAGACTTTCCCATTCATCTCAAGGGCCTGGGACTGTTCAGTGCTCAATCTTACACAGTAAAAAACAAGGTAAAAAAGAAAGCATTGGGTCCCTCAAGCCCTTTCTGTGTTCTTTGCATTCAGATTCTTTGCCACATTTGGCAGAAAGAACAGCACAGTAGCAGACACCAATTCATTCTGAGGCAGCAGATGCAAAACAAGCTAGAGGAAAGTGAAGGCTGAAACAGAGGATTCAAAGAGACATTGAGGCAGGTCATCTCTGAAACAAAACAGTGTAAGTCTGCACAACTAAACACCTTCATAATGCAAAGGCATAAAAGTAAGACTATGAATTTCACAATTTTTCAGAATTTTCTCTCTTTTTTTGGACTGTTAGATCATTGCCAAAGCTCATTTATGCTTTTTGACAAGTTTGACGAGAGAAATGGAAATATAAGCGAAATAAAAGGGCATGCTTATATGCACACATCAAGTTCTTTCTGTGTCCCCTACAGAGAATATAGAACTCATGAATCAAAAAACCTATAAAGTTGATATAGCAAGGCAGTATCTGTAACTTCCCATATGCAGGAAGTATATAAACTCTGCCTTTTCATTCCAGTCTTGCACTTCTCTGAAAGCAGAAAAGTGTAATTCAGTGAAACTGTGGGAGAGAACTATAATGCACATAAATGTCTCCTGGTAGTAACCATAGAATTCATCTTCACCAGTCACCCAAAGTTAAAGCTACAATCAGATCTGCACTAATTAATATATCAACCTAGTGAGTTATCTGTACTGACAGCATGATTTAGCAGAATTTATTATTGTTTTCTGAGAATACCAATATTGTAATTAAATTGTTCTTTTTGGGTGCCAGTTCTGGGGAGCCTTTTGAGCTAAATAATTGCAAAAAAAGCCCTACTTTACAATGCTGATAACTATATCATGACTTATTAAAAACAGACCCCTCATTTTTATATTGCTACTCATTACATACTCTTAGGCAACTCAAATAACATTCTCAATAACTGGCTCCTTTAATGCATCCTTAGTACATATTCCACTGGGACATCTGCAGCTTTTTTGTCTGGTAATGTTCACTTGATCTCCACTTTAGGATTCAGATTCACTCCTCACATCTTTAGAGACTACAACTCAATTAAAAGTTTAATTTTAAATGAAAAATATTTTGGCACTCAGATTCTCCCCATTGAGCTCCCACAGACCAGAACAAGGCCATGCTTCTACACCCAGGTATTATTGGAGCCTGCAATCCAGAGAACAGACAGAGGGGATGAGGAATTTATCCATGCAGCATTTACAGTGAGTCACAACCCTGGCCAGACAGAGCCATTCTCTCTCCAAGTTGCCATCTACACACAGAGGGTTCAGAAAAGCCCAGCAGAGCAGAGCTTGCAGCTGTAAGAAAACTCCACTAATGCAGGCACAGATAATAAAAAACAATATATTGCAAATACACCCACCTACTGCAGGGCATGCTATTTAGCTAGGGAGCTCCCTGAGTTAATCATAAGACCAGACCCAGACTATGCAAAAAGAACTAGTTTCTGCTGGATGCAGGAGGTACAGACTAACATTTCAATCTTACCAGCAAAATTATTCAACGTATTTGAGAATAGCCACTACAGTTTTCTTCTTCACAATAAAATGAGAAAAGCAAAGGGATAGTCAAAGCATATGCAAGATAGAGATTCTGCCCAAATGAGACTTATGGAAGGTGACATCCACATAGATTATCCCTAACTGAAAGAAGTCAGAAATCGCTTGAGGCAAAAAACAACACCAGAATTTTTTTTTCCCTATATGGCTTATGAGCCATTCTGGAAGCCATCCTTGCTTATCACCAGATTGGCCTTTCTTGCTGTTCACCACACACACAAAGTTACTACTGAAAAAGGTAAGTTAGGGTCAAGACGCAAAAACTAAAAATCCTGAATGAAAATAGAAGTAATAATTACTAGTGGTTGAACAGTTTGTCAGATTTGAATACCAGAACTGCCTAGATCAGTCTTAAATGGAAAGGGTAATTTTATCTAACCTTACTCAAGCAATCATGAGAGTCAACCTGCCCTTGCAAGCAGGACAAGATTTGTAATCTGAAACCTTGGTCTCTACTGCCTTCCCTAATATCATGGAATAAAGGACATACAAAAATCTTCTAAAAATTCTGAAAAGCTACCTCTCAAACACAGCACTGTAAGCACACATAGTAACAACTGTGTCTGATTATAAACAGGAATATTAAGATAAAGTAATTACTGTTAGCACTTCCTGACAACATCAATGAAAAGAAAGTGAGAAAGTTCAAATCACCCTTTATGCCTAGTTAAAAACTGTAAGAACACACTTTATGCCTAGTTAAAAACTGTAAGAACACACAGAAGACAGAAGACAGAAGACAGAACATGGAAGACAGAACACAGAACACAGAACACAGAACACGGAACACAGAACACAGAACACAGAACACAGAACACAGAACACAGAACACAGAACACAGAACACAGAACACAGAACAGTGCTAATGAAAAAATGCTGATCTTGGAACACAGAAACACAAGGAAATTAAACACATATGGGTAGGCAATAACTTATGCCAAATAAACACTTTCTAAACACATATGGGTAGGCAATAACTTATGCCAAATAAACACTTTCTGTGGCAACTTGTTACAATATCTCTATGAGTAACAATTGCAAAAGTCTACAAATGGAGTATTAGAAGAAATTAGAGAGAATTTGCTCACCTCTTTGACTATCTTTCCACACAATTTTTCGATTTTTCTCATAATGTTTATTCAACCAGATGAGGATGGTTCGTTCATGTCGAGAATATATATTACTGGATAAAGGTTCTGATTTTATTCCTGGTATGTTCTGCAAGTTTTCCAAGCTTGATGGGTCAGAAACAATACGGGAAGAAACGCGTGGAAGAACAAACACCTGAAATGATAAAAAATGTTTTAAAGCATGAACTATAAAAAGAATTTTGAGCTGACAGATAAAAAAAAAAACCAAACACTTCAAAGTCAAGAGGTTTTCTAATTTAGGAAAGGCTTAGGAGATTGCACATTAGCACCCACATAACCACTGCACAGGATAGTGAAAGGTCTCAAGGGCAAGACAAATGAGAAGCCACTGAAATCACTTGGCTTGTTCATCTTGGAGATGGCTGAAGAGTGACCTAACCACAGTTTACAAATTCCTCAAGGAGGGCAGAGAAGAGGAAAAGGTTCTGCACTCAGTGGGTGGTCAGTCTCCAGAACAGGTTGGAAGTGGTCATGGCACCAACTCATTCAGAGGTCAGGGAGCATCTGCTTTAAGTCACATGGTTTAGTTTAGGTAGTCCTGTGAAGAGCTGGGAGTTGGACTCAGTGCTCCTTCCATGGACCCTTCCATGATTCCAAATATTTTTTGTTTTCAACTTTTCTCCAAGTTTGGATGAACCCTGTGAAACCACTAGGCCATCTGTATTCTAAGAATTACTGTGCATATTCTATCCAAAGCACTAATTGCTGAGATGCTTACACTGATGTCCAGCACAATCTACAGACATTCAAATTGTACCTTTCCTGACCCAGTCGCTTATTTAGGTCCAAATTACACTGATTGTTTCTCCTGAAAAGATTCACATTAAAGGCCTAAAATAAAATTCAGGGCAAAATTGGTTTTCTGGGCTGCAAGTGCACAGGGGTGGCTCATGTCCAGCCTCTCTTCCACCAGCACCTCCAAATCCTTCTCAGTGGAGCTGCTCATTATCTGTTCATCCCTCAGCCTGGATTGATACTGGAGATTTCTTCAACCTGACTGAAATAAAACCTGACTGAATCAAGGCATTTCAAGCTACCCATTTTTAAGGGTTTCATCTCTTCAGGAAAAAAAAATCAAAACCCAAACAACAAAACATACATGAATACTATTAATTTCGGTGGGGTTTTTCTCTGTGCTAGTCTGTCATGTACCTGTGAATACTTCAGCAGATTGAAAGAACAGGAAAGTGATTTGCTTTCTGGTAACTATGATTGCATTTTTCCACACCCCTGTTCCCATGTGTTCTTAAGTCATCTGTCTCAGCCTATGTATACATACTGTTCCATCTCTATTTTTTATTGTGCTTTCCCAATCAATAATCACATAATCAGAGAATAGCTGGAAGGTGGCTCTGAAGATTGCCTGGCCAAACCTCGTGCTCCAAGAACAATCAGAGTGCTTTTCCAGGATTGTATTCCTCTGAGCTTTGGATATTTCCAAGGACAGTTAACTCCACTAACCCCTCAGGACATCCATTCTAGTGGTCACATTCTAGTGTGTGACCACTTCAACAGGAAAAAAGGTTTCTTAAGTTTAAAGGTGTTTCCTGCACCTCAGTTTGTGCCTGGTGCCTCTTACCATGTCGTGAGGCATTACTGAGGAGTCTGGCACTGTCCTGTTTACAAGCAACCTCCCCTCAGGTATTGAAATACATTTCCTAGATACAACTCCCTGCCTGAGCCTTCTCTTCTCCTGGCTGAACGGTCTCAGCTCTTTCAGTCTCTCCCTAAATGACAGATGCTTCAGTCTCTTAAATAATTTCTGGGATCCTTCATTGAAGTCACACTCCAGTACATCCATGTCTGTCTTGTACTGGGAAGCAAAAATGTTAGATATATTTTTAATCTATTTTCCATGCCTTGGAACAGAAATATTTTTTTCTTTTAGGCACATAAAGGCTACTGATCATTGATGAGCACAGAAGTTTTACTTTGGAAAACATGACACTCAAGTTTTTTTCTCTATCATCAATAAAAATAAAATTGAACAAAATTTGAGAATTCTATACCAAGCAAGTTGATCATATTTTAAAAGAAACAGGTATCATAAAAAATGCTCAGCTGTTTAAAAATTCCATTGAAATGTAAGGTAATAAATGCCACAGTTATACAACTAGACAATTATATCTAGTAAAAATGTTTCTAAGCAAAGTAACACAAAAGCATGACAGAGATTTCTTTACTTGCACTAATATTTATATAACATTTAACTCTACAAAATGCAGACTATTCCAATATAACATTTCTGTATTGGAATATAGTAACACAATTATAAATCTTTAAAAAAATTAAAACATTCTCACTCTCTCTTTTTCCTTCTCTCTTAGAGAGAAAAAAAATACTTACAAGTATTTTGATTTAAAAATGTGTTTGGAAAAAAAGAAACCTCCAATATACCATAGGTCTTCTTCAAAATAAAGTTTTTGGCCATCAGTTCCTTAGAATCTGGTAGTAAATATATCTGTGATTTACCTTGTATATCTGCAGCAGCACATCTGTCCAAGCTCGTTTGCTCATTGTCTCAAACATTCTGTCCTCCAGAACAAAAATAGGCCTGCCACTTAATTTGCCTGAGCTCCTCATGCTTCCTCTCTTCACTTCAGGTGTAAAACACTACATATAAAAGGATGGGAATTTTGTTTCAATATTCATTTCATCAGTTTGGATAGGAAATTCACAAGAGGACAATAATGAATCAATGGCATAAATGAGTGATAACATCTACTATAGTGCAATAGTGACCAACATTAAAACCATTTGCAGTTCAGGAGTAAGAACCATAATAAAGAATTGACAAAAGTTGAAAGCAGCAATCAGGAAACAGGGAAAACACACAAAATACTTCAAAATGGCAAAATCTGTATGATAATCTGATCTCTACTTTAAAACACACCTGTTGGACATTAATATCAGGTATCAACAGTATCAGAAGGAATTAAAAAAAAGAGGGAAACCAACGTAAATGTGGGAGTCAACTTAAATTCCTACTTAGTCTCACACATGTGCTTAGATTTATGCAATCCAAAACAGTCACCACAGTATGTACACTCATTGTTCACCAAGAACTTCCACTAGTATTCAAAAGACTGAAACTAAGCACGTGGGCTTTGTTTAAAAGAGGATAAACACCAAACCTACCTACCCTCAGTCCAGTATTCACTTCTGTCCATATCTCATAATCCTCAGGTGAAAGCAGAAATTCTGGCATAACATGAGAAAGATATGCTCCTTGGCTTCTGAAATCACAAAGCAGGAAAAGTAAACAGGAATGATAATTATTTTTAAGGGAAATCAAGTTTTTTTCAAGTTGTTCAACCTTTGTTCAATCTTTTCTACCTGAATAGCCTCTGGACTAGTGATCCACCTCCATTAATTGCTTAGATAAGCTTCATGGATAGTAACTCATGTTCAATTCCTATGGCTACAACTACACACTAAAAGAACATACAACTCTCAAATTGGCTTCTTTATGAGCATTGCTCCTCCATGAAGGATTTATTATAACACAAAACATGAAAACAAATAATAGCCATTTCCATGTGAAAGCCAAATGACCAGTGTTGATAACATCAGCAGAATTAAAACTTGATGCTTCTATCTGCAGTTTCATATTTACAAATGCTACTGGAAGTCAAATGGGTGTAATCAAAGGTATTTCAAAACTCTCAATGGATATCTCTTCTCAAGTTACTTATAAATGCAACAAGAAAAGTAATTGCTCTAACAAAAGGCAACTTCATTTAACTGAATACCAAAGAAGTTATTTTCCAAGTGAAGAAAGGCTATTCTTTATCTCAAATGACATAGTTTAAACAAATCTGCTTAAAAGAAAGGAAAATATTGTAGAATTTTGAAGCTTATTTTTCTCAGGAAAACAGAAACCTTCCTGACTTTTAGGTCAGGAAGATTATCATAGCATATCTAGACTTAAATTTTTGTCTTGAGTTTTTAAAATGGTTAATGGGAATAAAAATTAAACTAGCATTTCTTCTTATGTAACCAGCCTTTTATTCAAATTAAATGATCATACTTTTCAGTACCATGCAGTTCAAAATAAATTTAATTTGTACACTAGAAGTCAAATATCAGAGTTTGCAATTAGGATCATGACAAGTTATTACTCTTCTCTCAGAATTATATTTTTCTAGTAAGAGTAAAATTTCAGTTTCCATATTTTACTTGGAAAATTATTCTTTATCTTTTCAAATTATTGAAATTTCATGTTTTATACAATTATCAACAATATTTTTTAACACAAAAATATTTTAACCAGGGACAAAAACAGCACTAAGTTAGAAGAATGTCACTATGTCTGAAATTCCTATTTTCACTCACACATAAACTCTGTTCTATTAAATTCCTTTTAAACTTCAGCTTCTCCCAAATAAAAAATGAAGAAAGCTATACAGTATTAATCTTTTCAGGTATCCTATATTTCTTTTGATGTTTTTACTTGGCAAATACATGGGAATAAGTGTAATCTGTAATTTTCACTCCAAATATGTAACAAGGTTACATGTCATCATAGCAAAGTTCTGTGTAACTGAATGTTCTTGTAATTTGCTGCATTTTACTACCATGGAACACTGTCTTAAACAAACTCCCCTTCATTCAGGTTAATATTAAACATGAAGCCAGTTGTCCAAGATCAGTATTTTCAATGTTAAGATATTTTTCCCCAAAATATAGGGCTTGCAACAAGCTGGTTGTACTGTAAGATACCCAAGTGTCTCCTTTACTGCTGTGGTAATTCCAAGGAAACCTTTTGTCTGGAGGACAATAAACCTGATACTTGGAATGTTGCTTGAAACACTAAGCACCATTCACCTGCTTTGACAAGTGGACTATTTGAGATACAAATTATGCTTTATTTGAACCATCCTGACCAGAAAGTAGTGGCTGGTGTAAGAAAGCCAAATAATATCTGCTGACTTTCCACAAATCACAGTGAACATGCAGGGATAGCAGATCACAGATAGATCACTCATATCTCAACTGGATACGGATGTCTTCCCATCATTACACTGTCATGCCAGCAGTGCAGATATCAGACATTATTGTACTCTGTTCTATAAACACCTGTGAGGAAATACAAATATTCTAGATGATCCTAAAATGTGTAAGTAGGAAAAGTAGATCCATAAATGAGGGGCCACAAAGAAATCTTATAGAATTCACACAAACTAGGAGAGGCAGAAAACAAACAGGATGTGGTAATGTGGAGAACAGAATGAGCATCAAATTAATTATAGAAGAGTTCAGATTGGAAAAGACCTACAAGATCATCAAAATACATATAAGCAAAGGAGTCCAGTTAGAAATGCTTTTCTATGAAAACCTGTGGTGTTTTTTCAGGATTGGTATGGATTACTACTCCATGTCTGATCATTTGATCTCAACATCCATCAGTCATCAAAACATCTGTATACAGAAGCACTGGACTTAGCCTTAACCAACTGGCTGCTGCTTCAATTCTGCTCTCAATACATGCATGACTTAACAGCCAAAGCTCAGTAAAACTGAGGACTTTTATAAAAATTTAGCTGTTAAAGAGCTTTAAAAAAATCCCAAGAAACACATTAGAAACACTTAAGTAGTTCTTTCCAACTGCTGTTATTTTTAGCAAAAAGGGTTAGGATCCACTTACCCCAAAACTCATCATTTTAAAGTATTCAACAAACATCATTTATGCTAGTTTCAAGATTCCTAGATTCCTGGAAAATCTCAGTGGGAAGACTGCACATAAGAGTCATCAGGGTCCACCAAGAGCTTCAGTGGAATGGTGAGATCTCTAATGGAAAACTTGATCTGTCTACTGAGTCTGTCTAAGAAGAAAGTTTAGGAGTCATCCTTTGCAGTTAAAAAAGCAGAGTTCCTATGGAATTCCTGTGCTGGATATAACCCTACCAAAGGACACTTTTATTAGTGTAAACTGCAGATAACCTTGGAAAAAATAAAGATTATAATACATACATCTCTTCTCACAAAAAGAATAAAGGAAACCCTAAACCCTCTGTTTTTCCAGATAGAACTAGGCTTGAAATATGCTAATTATAAAATTGGAAAGAAAATACACACTCATGGACATCACATGATACTTGTACTTACTTAAGGAAGGAAAGCAATTCAGAATGCTGCCAATGGAGTTGGAACATTCTTTCTACTGGATCAGGGGGCAATGACTGGCTCGCTGCAATGCCTGGTATTGGTTGTCCATTCAGATGCAATATCATCTCATAAAATCCCTTATATTTGTCAACCTTTCGTTTAAAATTCTTTTCTTGTGCAACGGTTAGCTGGACTATACACACATCACTAGGAGAGAAAAAGCCTTTGATATTCTTCTTCTAAATGCACAAAATGAGCTACAATTACATGTATCACAAGGCTAATTTAACAAACCATGAATTAAAAACAGCAGCAAGGAAGGTTGAAAAGTGCAGCATTTCTATCTTTACAGAACATTCATAATAAAGTAAGAATTTTGAACTGCATAGAATATTTATTCCTCCACAATTAAAAGCTTTCTGCCATATATAACTTGGATTTTTATCATGTTTATAAATGTCTACATGATTATTTCCCAGGAGAGTGGCTTCTTCACTATTTAGTACCAAGACAGAAAAGATCAAATAAGTGAGGCCACCACCACTGATAAATTTCCAGGGTTCTTGTAAGACTCTTAATTATAAAATATTCTTTCTCATCTGTTTCTTGATCTTTAGATTATGTGGGGGAAAAACACATATTGTTAAAGCACTTACTTATGTCACCAAAGAAGGGACAAAGGCTAGAACAGTTTTGACTCTCAGAGGAGAATCAATTTCAGTTAAGAAGGTGACATACAGTTTGAACTGCACATTTAACATACACTACATTATGATACATGGTATCACAGTTGAAAATATATTTTAGAAAATAAAAACTAACGCCTGGATGACATTTTCATATAAGCACCATATAGAAGCTACAGTTTTGATGGAAAATTACATTAGAGTGTGTTTATATTCCTTAGATCATATCCAAACCACTTGAGTAGATCTGTTAGCCTGTTATGAGACAGACAGGAGTTAGCTTGAAGCAGGCATGAATTACCGTCTCAGTGAGTGAGGTACTGAAATGGGATTTTGTCCCTTAGACCAGCCAAACAGTGTGAACCAACTCTTCACAGCTTTCAGGGTCTTTTGAAAGAAGGTGTACTCCTCCTTATCTTCATCAGGAAAAAATGATAATTCATGTTTATTTCCTCTCCCATCACCCTGACTGTCACTTTCACTCTCTTCTCTTATTTCTTCACTCTCATCACTCTCTTGTTCATTGCTCTCACTTTCACAAGTGGTACTCTCTGAATGATACACACAAAATAAAACATCCAGAAAGATTTCTTATTTCCCCATTTTTGTCTAGTACCAAAATATTCAACAAACAAAGTACAAAAAACTGGCAGACAACAATCAACTTATTTTAGGAAAAAACAATTTAAATTATATATTCATGTCTTAATAATAGAACAAATGATATATTGAAATCTAATTTCACTTTCAGAAAAAAGCATTACCCAACCAGCAAAAAATAAGTTCAGGAATGGCTTGCAAAACTACATCCAGAATCTAAAAAGGATCAGGCTCACACACAGTCCCAACAGACACAGCTTTGCCTGTCAGTCACTATAAGTTCACTTTTAGAATTATTGTACAGGTATAACTCTCACTACACCTATAAGCCCTTCAACTTTTCTCCCCTCTGTTAGGCTTTCTCCCTGATAAATTCTGATCTGTTCATAACATATATATTTTAACAACTATTAGTTGTTAACATCAACAATATCACTGCACAAAAAGGTAACTAAGGAAACAAACAATAATTTTCCTTATAGCACAAATAACATAGGTGACTCCATCCTAGAAGGTGTATTTTAATACCACTGTTGCATTTTCATTAAATTATGTAAAAATAAATTTAATTGATACCTTTGTGAATAAAAAAAAATCTTACTGGGATTTAAGAAGAAAAACAATACAATGCGGAGAAAGAGGATCATTCTTTATAAGATCATTGATTTTATGTGCTGCACTATACCTGATGAAGAATCTTCATAGATTGAGTCACTAGCAACACCCAAAGAACTTGTGGAATAACTATGTGATGATGATCGTGGTGTAAAACTTGGCTGTAAAACAATTTCTCCAGTGCTGAAGTCTTGATTGTCTGTAAAAAAAGATTAAAGTTGCAGTTGAGAAAACACATTTTACTGTCTGCATTCTAACAAATTATAAATTAATATCCATTTCTGTATTTTTCTACTTCATGCCTCAATTAATCAAGTAACAGTTCCTATTTGACTCATAAAAATCTCACTTGGTCATTAGACTGGGGTCCAGAAAAAACTTCATGGTTTGTTTTTCTTTTCCCCATTTACTCTATATTTTATAGGATGCATCTTCGTATTTGCTGAAAAGCACCTATCAGAACAATGCTAGTTCCAGAATTCTGTGACATGAACAAAATATTCTTAAGGACTTCTTGTTCACAGCTGTGTAATGAGTCTCAGTACATCATTATCAAGCTCCTTCAGACTCAACATGTATTTTACAAACCAAACTCAGAAGCAAACTTTATCAATCCATCACTGGTTCTGACATTCTCATGTTTGCCTAATATAGCATTAGAGGCCCCTCTTTTGTCAGTCCAAAATAAAAGGGGGAACCAAAGGCAGTTTCCAGAAAAGCAAACTCACCACTAAGAGAATGAAGAAGTCTCTATGATTATCTTTAAACTTTTGATTGCTGGCACTGTTATTTTGATCATTTGTAGGAAATAAGAGCACGGTGTGTGAGTGAAGGCAAAGCCTTCCTCTATACCTTCCAAAGACACTGTGTTGTACAGATATGGTTTGCTTACATTAAACACCATTCCACACCAACACAGCCTATACAAAATCACATAAAAAAGACTCAAAGAATTTAGCAGTAATGACTTGCTTCAAAACGGACACAAACTGATGTGTGAACAAACCAATAAGTAATCAATGCAGGACAAATACCCCATTATTAATGGGAGATCCTTTATTATAAAACCATCACTCCATTTTTGGCTTAAATCTCAGTGGATTGCAAAAATTGTCTATTGATCACAAAAAATATAGAAAATAAACAAAAAAAATTTACACATTAATAGGAGATAATACTTCTTTCCCTTCCTTCTTCATTTAATTGTGCTATGATCCCTGAATGATATGCTACCTTTACCAATCTTCTTCCATTTCTTTGAGAAAGGCCAAAACATTACCTGTCTTCTTGTTAATCCCTTTCTCAATTTCCCAAGTATCAATTATCTTTTCTCTTAAATACTCAGAGTGACACACTTGCTTTAGGTTAATGCAGTCTTACAATTCAGTCTTTGAGGCTAAATCTGTCTCAGATCTAAGGACTTACTTACTTATCTGAAAAACTTCTCTATGCCATCAAAACACATCAGATCACATATACAGCTATAAAAAAACATAATCTTTTGCCCCACATTGAAGCTGCTTTAAGCAGACTGGACTAGATGGCCCCCAGGGATCCCTTCCAACCTGAATTATACAATGATCCCAATCTCCTCCCAAAAGCACAGCCACACACAGAGATTACAGATCACTGAGGCAGCAGAGATGGGTTCAGGAGGGGGACACAGGCAGAGATTTAAAGACAGAGGCAGACAGAGGGAGGCAAGCAGGGAGACATAATGCTGATAAAAATATTTCTGCTCTCTGACCACAGGTTTTTATTAGGCCTTAAAAGATAGCTGTGCCCTTCTCCCTTCAAGGAAAGGAGTTAAAAAACCCTGAAAAATATTCCCTGAAAACAGGCAAATAATGATGCAAATAATGATCAGATTTTAAAATTACATCATGTGGTTTCTCTTTTGATTTCTTCAAAACATATGATCACTGCCTATCAATACAATTCAAATTAAGTTAACTTATTCTCTAATGTTTGGACTGTTTTCCTTATTCATATTTAGAACATTTCACAAAACATTCTGTAAGATTTTGGTTTGTTCAATATTTTTCAATAAATATTATCTAATACTTTATATAACTTGTCCTCATTTTCAGCAAGAAAGCTGAAGCTATCAAATAGCTTTAGAAGTTTAATTGCAGTATCCCCCTGCAATAAATGAGGGAAAATGCTATTTTGATGATTGATTCCTGCTGTCACCCTGAAAACACTGATAATACTAATGGATATAATAGAATTTCAGAGGTACTGTTTACTGCTTACTGCTTCTCCAGATAATTTTTTGATCAGAGCAGTGCAATGCCAAGTACGGGTATAAGGTAAGAAGACAATTGTCTGCTGTTCCAGCAACCCGAAATGGGAACCTGTTGAAAACAAAGTACAGAAGTTACCATTTTCTATTTTCCAATGGTAATCAAGACACTTATCAGCACAAGAACAAAGGACAGAGTGAAGATATCAGAACTCCTTCCTTCTTCTCTAGTGGTTGAACAAATCACACAGGTGGGACTGCATCTTTCAAAATGCTGAAGTTTTAGTATTTCCACTTCTTAGTTTACTATGAGCATAGGTGTATCAACAGATTGAAAGAGTCAGCAGAGATTTAATGAAATAAATTAACTCTGTATTTCTAAAAAGAAAAAAACTACTAAAATTACAACTGACATGAATAAGTCTCCCAAAGATGCCTACTAACTTCCTAAATAGTATGTCCTACAACTTTTGACAAGGGAAGTTTTCTTGAAAAGCGACTTTATTTTGATGTAGCATTTATTCTATAAGACTTTACAGAAATGACAAAATAAATATTTAAAAATAAATAGATTCAATTTAAAAACAGTAAGATATTGATTGCAGTTGCTGGACTATAATAGAAATTGATGTCCATGCTCTGATGTTCACTAGAGTGTCTGTTCCACCTGCAGCAACTTTATTGATGTGCAGCAATCCACCTTTTAACCCTCTTTTTGTATTTCACCGCAGTCTCTCAGAGTGTAGTCAACAAGCAAATTATTGCCATCAATGCAACCATGGGAGCCATCTGTATTTATGTTCATTGCTCATTGCAACTGACAGGTAATTAAGCTGAGTTTAGTCCTATGTTATTAAATAGCTGGGTTTGTAGTCCTCATTTACTTATGAACTAACATTAATTTTAATTAATTGTTTTGACTAAACTGTCAAAAGTAAAAAGAAAAATGCATTTTAATAATTCAAACAGCATGCTGATATCCATCTTGCTTTGATATATTGAAAATTATGCATATTAAAAATATATTTTGCACAGAATAAATGAATACATTTTCCATTTCCTCAGAACAACCTAAGAAAAATTTCTATTTATGTCAAATTTAGATTAATATTAAAAGATAGCACAAGACCTCTCAGATTCATTTATTTATAATATGACATAATTAGATTTTACTGGATTTTGGGGTTTTTTTGTGGAATATCATAATCAAGGAAAACAGAAATGTTTTAAAATTATCAGAAAGTAGTTTTGTTTCCTCTTCCATACTGCACTCTCCAAACACAACATTCCTGGATATTGCTTTCAAGGCGACATTAATAAATAGAGAAAGGTTCTAACAAAACCCATAGCCAACTTTCTTACAGGTAAATATTTACACTGGGATTCCAATTTGACAGCTAACAGTCATTTTAGTAAATAATCCAGCTCTGCAATGCTTTGGTTTGCTCTTAGGAAATGTTAATCCAACTGGAACTTGGCTGGGGGTGAGGCAAGGGCTCTGGCCACTTGTACCTTGCAGCACATCTCTTGTAGCAGACGTCATTCCTTCTGCTTTCATTCAGCCAAAAAGCCTCAGCAGCAGGGCATCAGCAGGACAGAAGGTTGGGAGAGCTACATCTACACCTATCTCTGTGCACAAAATGTGTATTTGTATATTTGTACCTGTTCCAAACAACTGTCAGTGCTTGCCTGTTCTACCTTTGCCAAGCCATTTAAAGACACACAGAATCAGTAACTACAACACAGAAAGTTTTACAGCTTCCAGCTCGTGACTTTACTGTGATAAATGACAACTCTCAATATTCTGCAAGCACACAAGTGAATTTCAGAAAACTGAGTGAGGGGCAGAAGGGGAAGAAAGCTGTATGGAGGTTAATGAAAGACAGCTCTCAAGTTACATGGAAGTAACTCAGATGTCTGTATTATCAGACTCAGCCAAATTCCTGATTTTTCAGTTTGAGGTGAGCACCTCAGCCATTCCCATCCTAAATACCAGTTTAGGGATTTTTAGGGATTTGGGGAAATCTTCATTCACACTCTGATTTGCACAGTAATGTAATGATTTGCACAGTGCTTGAGAACAACAGCAGTACCATCTGAACCACTTACACAAGTTCCAGGAGTGGAAATACACAGAGCAAAGGAAGTAACTGTGCAATGTAGAACATAAAGAACAGTCCCACAAGAGAATGTGTGTACAAAGAAACCCCTCAGAGCTTGTGGTGCTGCTGCAAGCAAAGCTCCTCCCTTTCCATGGATGTGCCTTGCTGGCTGCTGTGGTAACACAGTAAGAGACATGAATACACCCAGCCAAACAAGCACAATGCACATATTGAGGAGGAGGGGACGGATCCTGCAAGTCAACAACGGATCCTGAAAGCCAACAACTGATTCTGCAGCTGCTGTTAATCAAAAGGATTTAACCTCCATGACAGTGGCTGCAGTGAGCACAAGATGGTGGAGGTCAGGACTGAAGGATGTAGAAGGGACTGAAGAAGCTGCTGTGTGGGGAGAAACTGAGAGGTTTGAGTGTTCAGCTGTGAGAAAACAAGGCTCAGGGGCATCTTGTTTATGTGCACAAATATCTGATGGGGGGAGTAAGGAAGAAGAAGACTCTTCTCAGTGATGGTCAGTGACACCACAAAAGGCAGAGTACAAACTGAAATACAGGAAATTCTGTCTCATCGTAAGAGAAAAAAAAAAAAAAACAAACCAAAACCAAAATCATGAGTGTGACTAAACTGGAAAAGTCTGCCCAGAGAAGGTCATGGAGTCTTATCCTTGAAGATACTAAAAAAATCAACTGGGCAATAGAGTTGATTCTTTGAAGAGGGAACATGATCTCTGGAGGGTCTTTCAATCTCAGGCATTCTGTGATAATAAATATCAATTCACTTATTGGCCACCTGTGCACTTATCATCAGTAAGTACTTTATTACATGATTTTCCCAGAAGTGCTATTTGAAATAAAATTCAAGAATGAATCTGTACCTAAACATTTCATCTGAGATTCAAATAATGCCACTCCATTCACATGGCAGAAAAGCAAAGGTGCTAGGAGCTAAATATTTATCATCTGTCTTTGAGGACCTGAGTCAGAGGGCACCAGACAGAAAAGCATGCACACTAGCATACAAATACAGAAGAGACATTACAAAGACATGTGAATTCTGTACATGTAAAGCATCTTGTGCCACTGACCTTGACTAACATCATTAATGAAATTATGTTACAAAACTAGAAGTCTTGTACAACATATTTATTTTGTATTTTCAGCAGAGTTTACTTAAATAATAGAAAAGTCTGTATTATTTTATTGGAGTAAAAGGTACCTGTACTGCTAGTAAATGTGAAGTCACTAAATACGTTAAATTATTCAGTGTATTTGGTTTCATAATGCTTACTAAAGCTAGTAAAAAAAAATGTTATGTACGTGAACCATCATTGCCACTGCTATTCCTAATTTATTCCCTAATGTATATTTCCAAAGAGCACAGAACAGGAGAATGGTCATGAAATATATTGTGTTTACGCACACTTGAAACCTGCTGATCACCAAATGTAAAACTCCAACTGTGATAACAAAAAAAAACATTCAACACTCTGAAACAAAGTTTATATAAGAAGTTCTTTCACTTCTCTTAAAGTAATTGTTTTGTTTTTTTCATTAATTTGTTTATTTTAATATTTGTAAAACAACAAAAGAACATGAATCAAAATATATTTGTCCATTTCAATCTGCATTTCAGGTGTTTCCTAAGTGCAAACAACTAATTTGTTTTGTATCAGTGTACCCCAAGTGTTCTAAATATGTAGGCCTAATTAAATAACCCTTCTTCAATAGTATTCAATAAGAGATGCAGAGTATCACTAAATTTCTAATGAGATATAATCCAAATCCATTAGCATCTGACTGACAAATTTCTGTAGCAACATTTGTGTAAACTAAAAAAAATATTTAAGAGAAGCTCACACTGCCAGTTTAGGAAACAAACTGCTTGCAGAACTGATAGTGGCAAAAGAAAACATTACCTAAGAGTGTTACATTTTGCAGATCTTAAGAATAAAGAGTAAGTTAGATGCTGGGAAGTTGCAATTTAAATATCAATAAAGACCTGCCCTCCTCCCTTCCCTCAAAAAACAGATCCAGAGATGATGGAATGTAAGAAAGGAAAAGATGACCCATGCCAGCTCTGCCATTACTATTCCCAAATAAGCAGCTCCCCAACACTGAAGGGTCCTTGTCCTTTGTAGCAGGAGCTCAGGCGTCCCCAGCAACCGACATAATGCAACAATGAATAGTGGCTGACACATAATTTCATGCTACATGTAAGACTTATAGCTGAGAAAGCATCCGTATTTTTTCCTAGCAGCAGCAGCCACATTAGCAGTTAATTCCCGAATAAGAGATGCTTCAGCTGTCAGGGACCATCACAATGGCAGAAAGCCACAAGCACAGAATAGAACAGAGTGATTAATGGGTTTGGACCATCCTTGTTTTCAAAAGCACTCCCAACTATCTGAGGTAAAATGCCAACATATTCTTAGGTCAGATGAACGCTGCAAAGCAGCATGCAAATATCAAGAACTCTAATGTTTCCCAGCTCCCTGCTTTCTCATGTAATGTGAATGATTTTGAGAGAAATTGACAGCTCCTGCTCTCCCAGGCACGCCAGCAGAATACACGGATTTGACATTTGCCAGCAATGACTATTAAAGAGCTGGGTGGTTTGTGCATGTTTCCCAAGAGCAAAGGGAATGTTTTCCCCTGTGAGACACTGAGATCTGATGGACTATCAAAACTGGAACCAATCCATAATTGGATTGGTATCAGTTGTATCAGTTGTATCAGTTCTATCATATTGTTATTAGAGGCTAAATTCCCTGACATTCTCTTTTCCTGAAGTTCCAGCCATGAATAATGTGAATAAATTCAAACATTTCATGAGTTTCCATAGCTTCCCAGTGGGAGAGGGGAGAACTGTAGAACATGGAAGGAAAAGACATCAGCACACTTGTGTTATCTACAACACACCAACTTATCTACACCACATGTGGAGATTTTAATATCTTTTACTGCCCAGAGCACCATTTTATTTGATTGTTTGTTTACTACTTATTTCCAGAAATAGTAACTTAAGTGTTATTTCAATCAAGATGGCAGAAAAATTTCTTTTCTGCTAAACTATTTCTATAATCATCAAATTAAAACATCAGAATAATGAGAGAACAAATATATATAAACATGCCATTCTCACAGACAGATTTGTTTTTCAAAATATGTGTCATAGCTAAATATTTCTCCCATTTATTAAATACTTGCTCAAGACAGTCTTAGATTTTATGTTAACTTTTACTTCTGAATTCCTATCAAGTCCCTAAGCAAGGAAGGGTCATTTCTTCTGCTTTGTATTCAAAGGAGCGAAAAGAAAGCATAAAAATTTAAAGTAATATTAGAAATTAAATGCAAATTCTCATTTAAAGCAGTCATTAAAAGAACATTGATGCACTTTTATATGTTCCATTTAATGGAACGTGTGCACACAGTAAATTATTGCATGGCAACCATATCTCTTCAGTTTTCTTTACAGTTATATCTAATCTTGCTTTGTTATTAAAAAATTATTTCCTGTTGTCTTTCAAATGTTTTCTGTAAAGCAGCCAAATCCAGCAATATTTGTTCTCTAGCCAACATTCACTCTCTTTTAAAGCATGAAAGTCATTATTATTTAGGGCTAAGTATGGGCTACATGAATCAATCCTACTGCCTTTTTAGCCCTTGATTTAGAAAAGCTAGATACTACAGAGCCTAAGTAAAATGCTTTGGGGTTGTATAGCCAGGTTTTGGTAGTGGGGGGGCTACAGGGGTGGCTTTGGTGGAAGCTTCCCCTCCTCCTCTATCAGAGCCAATGCCAGCCAGCCCCAAAACAGATGTGCCACTGACCAAGGCTGGGCCAACCAGAAATGGTGGCAATACCTCTGTGGGAATATATTTAAGAATTAAAGAAAAAATTATGGCACAGATGTAATTGCAGGCAGAGAGGAGCAGGGTGAGAACATGAGAGGAGCAGCCCTGCAGACACCAAGGCCAGAGCAGAGGGAGCGGCAGGAGCTGCTCCAGGGGCTGGAGCTGAGATTCCCCTGCAGCCCCTGGTGAGACCGGGGTGAGGCAGCTGTGCCCTGCAGCCCCTGGAGGGCACAGGGATGCAGAGATCCACCTGCAGCCCATGGAGGGGACCCAAAATGGAGCAGGGGGATGCTGAGAGGAGGCTGTGAACCCATGGGAGGCCTGTGCTGGAGCAGGGTCCTGGCTGGGAGCTGCAGAGCTGTGCAGAGAGGAGCCCACCCTGGAGCAGGTTTCCTGGCAAGACTTGTGACCCTGTGGGGGACCCAGGCTGGAGCAGGCTGTGCCCGAGGGACTGACCCTGTGGAAGAGGGACACATGCTGCTGCAGTCTGGGGAGGACTCTTGCCCATGGGATGGACTCATGCTGAAGAAGTTCATGGAGAACTGTCTACCATGAAAGGGAGCCCATGGTAGAGGCAGGGGAAGGACTCCTCTCCTTGAGCAGAAGCAGAAACAATGTGTGATGAACTGACCATAACTCCCATTCCGTGTCTCTCTCCACTGCTGGGGGTAGAAGTAGAGCTAGGAATGAGGGAGGGGTGAAGGGAAGGTGTTTTTAAGGCTGTATTTTAGTTCTCATTATCTTGCTTTGATTTTTTAGTAATAAATTTAATTAATATCTCTCAGTCAAGTCTGTTGAACTCATGAGGGTATTTGGTGAGTCATCTCTCCTTTATTCTTATCTCAACTCATGAACCTTTTATGACATTTTCTCTCTCCCTTCCCACTGCAGGGGATAGTGACAGAAAGGCTTTGGTGGGTGCCTGACATCCAGCCTGGATCACCACTATGGAGTGTTTTTCTCTTCAATACTCCTGCTTGGAAACATGCCTAGAACTAGTTCTGCTTAGAAGGCTTTTCTTCTAAGTAGCTGTAAATTATTTTACCAACCTCTGAAAATCTTGACTTATTTTAATAATATCCCAGAACACAGGAGTTGAAGTTCAAAAGTTTAGTTAAAATAATTTTAAAGTACATATTATCACTTTGAAAATGGAAATCTAAAGAGAGAACACCTGACAAATTAATACATTTTCAGCAACAGATACTGTGAGATTTCACGGACTATTAAACAGTCCAGGAACTTTTTCAAGACCAGTTAGCTTTTATAGGTGTTATAAAAGGTCATAGGTTCCATTGTTTTATTATTAAAGATCAAGAGGACCCTGAAATCTTGTCTTTCTAAAAGACTCAAATTAACAAAGCAGTTTAAATTCATTAGATACACAGTTTGAAACAAACTGCTCAAATGCTTAGATAATTAGTTGAATCGGGTTTGAAGTTTGAACACGTTGCACAGGGCTCCCATGGGGGCTGGAAGGAATGAGGGGAAGATATGCAGAGAACAAGAAATTGCAGCTACATATTATTGCAGAGTGCAATATCAAAGCACATAATAATACTAACAGTATTATCCAGACTTGGATAAATGTATTCAAGTCTGGATAAATCATCATGGACTTTATTAGAAGAGTAAGGAAATGGTCAGGATTACAGAATTGGGTGCTCACTCAGACTTTTTTAAGTGAAGGGAAGAGCTCTTTCTGGTTATGATAAAAGTAATTTAATCTGAAAGTCAGTGTGAATAATACTGCCACGCTGACCAATGACACACACATAATTCTTTTCTTTCTGATGCTGTGTTATTTTATCCAATTTTGCTCAGGTTTTTATCACCTGCTCCTAAAGCCCACCCACAACTCAGCTGCCTGTCAGGCATATACATTATTAAACTGGCATATACATTAGCAAACGAGTTCTGTCCTTTAACAAATACCTTAGTTCTACATTTTAAAACCTAGCAACAATTCTAAAATGATCTGACATTCCACAGCATGAATTTATTCACCCTCATGAGCAGGAATGGCTGTTAAGGTTACTTAGATGACTTTTATTTGCTATCTTTTTTTAAAAAATACATTCCATTTGCCTTTAAATTGAGGATCATATTCTTTATTTCCTTTTAATGGCAAATATAGAAAAAATTTCATTACACAGGAGGAACTTTATTTCTCTATAACAAGGTCTGAGAAGCTGCTAGTTCATCATATAAAAAGTTATTAAAACTAAATATTGTGCCTGCTCAGAAGGTACATTTCAGACTTGATCATAAGCTTAAATTATCCTTTTCCTGTAATTACAGCAAGCTTTAACACAGATTTAGGAATCACACTCCACATAACGATTAAATCCTAGAATTAAATAAAATTAGTAAGAAATAGATTCTTGGCTAACAATCTATAAAGAAAAATATAAAATATTAACTTAAAGATACATAGCTTAATAATATATAAATAGCTTAAGATACATAACCCTTGCATCAAAACAATATAAAGTTTATTTTTATGTTTAGAAAAAAGCCTATTCTAAGCTGCAGGGTAGAATTATTTATCCCTCAAAATAGTTGCTTTAGTGAAAATAACAAAGACAGGAATGCCTTTATTCACAACAGTGCCTATCTTCTTCCTCTTGCACACACTCATCCCATCCCTGGCAGAGCTGAACAAGAGATGAGTTACCAGTAGATACGAATAAGATATTGAAACAAGACGTTAAGACAGACACTTAGATGAATTTTACCTTAGAGATCAAAGCTGACTTTTTTAGTTTGGAATTGTAATTCAGTTGAAAAAAAAGAGATAAATGGCTATCTTCCATTTTCATTTTTTTCAGAGGATTCTTGTGCTCCTTTACCCAACCCTTGTGAGTTCTGTGTCTTATATCCACCTTGGTCAGTCTGGAACCTTCTCCCAGGTGACTCTGAACTGCATACATTACCTGTTTTCTTCCTGGTCAATGAAGAGCATTTCCCCTAAAAATGACACTGGCTTGGATGAACTGAAGCTGACATGGCAAGTCAGTTCATTAGTTGTTCCATCTGATGAAAGAAAAATATCTTGTCCCTCTGGGAACTGCACAGAAAAAGGGAGAGTTCTGGTACCATCTGCAAGTTCAAGCTCAGGAAGTTTAACTCTAATTCGTGATTGTCTGTGTAAACATAAATAGTAGGTGTTTGTGGTCACAGGATTGCAGTAATAAAGTAATTTCATAAATTCACATATTCACAAAACTCTTTCACAGTTGAATACAGAATAATAACTTTATTTACAGAATAATAACTTTAGAACTAAAGTGCAAATCAAATCAAACTAATTTAAAAAATAAAATTCTTCCATCATTCAGATGCTAGTTTGTTTTCTTTGTATGTACCTGAACTTTTCATGCAGACCCACAATATGTGAACACCCAAATGAAATTTTTACTAACTGTGCTACAAAAGGCATAAAGAGTTTTCTGAAACATAAAACATATTAGTGTTCATTAAATTGCACTGTTGCACAAATAAGTTAAAGCAAGTTATAAAATAGAAATATTAAGGGGAAATTTGTGGAGATGCTGAAAATGCTTCAATATGTAGTTATGTATTTTAGGTTTCAGTTCTGAAATAAGAACAGCAGTCAATCCAGGCCCATGTAGAATCCCTTCAGTTCCAACCACTGAGCTAATGACAACAGACATATCACCTGAAAAATCAGCAAAACTCAGACAAGACAATAGTAATTTGAAGGTAATTTAATTAATTTACAACAAAAGGAAAACTTTGCTCTAATTATAGTATTGAAATGATACCTACATAAGCATAGTAAACAAATATTACTGCTCTTTACTAATTACAACCAGAAAAGTTGAATTTTAAAAATTTTAATAGTTGCAATGCTATGTTATACTACATTATACAAAGACTACAAAAAGTCTCTCTTTTAAAGTCAGTTAACAGGGTAAACTGAGTGATCCACAGACAAATAAAAAATATGTAGATTTTTTTATTGTAACAAGTGGCAGGATTAAAACATTTCTGCTGTCCTTTTCAATAAAACCTCACATAGAAAGAAGGAAAAAAACACCAAAAACTGCAACCCCACCAACTGTTCAAGCAGCTAAACCTCAAACCAGTGGAGTAGAAAAAATAACAGAAAGACTTTATGTTATCACAATGTGAAAAATAGAAATAAGATTTAAAATCTTAGTCTCTGGCTAAATGCAACTAAAATCCTAGTAAGTCTCTAGTTTTAATTTTTTGCTATCCATAGTAATTTTATATTTCTGATATAAATTCATAGAGTGAAGAGATCAGAGGATACTTCATGAAACAGGAATGTTTGAGGACAAAACATGGGCTTGTTGAATACTCAACAACATTAATTTCCGCTAAATATACAGATTGTTCTGATGAGTAGAAAATTAATATTAATCTTCATGAACAAATACTAATTCACTTTTTCAGAAGTGAATGAAACAAAGAATTATAAAGGACTTCTGTAATAAATTTACTTTCAGATTTTTACCTTAAAAAATCCTGTGGAATGATGGTGACCACTGCTTCAGTTTCCACACCCAGAGGAACTGGCATCAGCATTAAAAAGGGAGGATGAAAATCTATTTTTGGCATCCTCAGCGTCCCAGACAATTTCAGCACATACTGTGATGGATCATCATCTAGATACATGGATATTTCAGATGTGTATGTCCCAGGACAAGCTGTTGAAAAGGTTTAAAAATACATGTATTACCATAAATACAAAAATGTAAAAGAGTTACAGTAAGAAATTTGGGGTTGGAATATTTATTTGTAATTAAATTATCTTTTTAAATACAGTACAGCTTTCTTTCTCAAAATCTAGTTTAACATAATATAGATACTGTGTCAGAAGTGTATTTATTAAGAAAGCTCAGAACACTTGCCTGTAGCAAACCAGAAATTCACATTTTTTCAACTTGTCAGAACTTTTTCTACATCTGAATTGTTACTGCAATAAATGAGTTTATTGCATTAATAATCCATTATATGTAATATCAATACAACAGCAGAATTTTAAGAATTGCAGTCATACTTCTAATTACAGTAATTTGTTAGACACAGTGAATGCTTATGTTACAAAGGAGTAACTATTGGAAGTATCTGACTGCCAAGACAAGGAAAAGTTGGTGCCTTTTAAGAGAGCAATTACAACACTCCAAAGATGGATCTAGGTTTATATGCAACCTATAGTGTGGCCAAGTAGCCCCATACAATCCACCAGGAGGTTCTACCCTCCACTCAGACCATCATCCTTCTCAGAGAATCATTTAGGTTGGAGAAAATCTTAAGGATCATCAAATCCAACTGCAACCTTAACAATTGTCAAGTCCACAAAAAAAAAAAAAAGGGAAGGGATGACCAAATATCCCTTTCCAGGCGCTCTCTACAGCACAGCTGGACATGACAGCAGCAAAGAGAAAGATTTCCTTGTGTTCTTCTCCTTCTCAGGCTGCCAAGTGCTGCAAGGCAGCTCTCTCTAAGATGGAAAAACACTTTTTTTTTTTCCACTGATACAGGGAACAAAGTATTTCCTCACACACCTGTTACACTATGGAAATGACATTCCAAACCATGCAGTGCCATTTACCCAACCCTCAGTCATTCTCATCTGCTGAAGAGCTAGCAAAATAAGAAATTTTGAGGGCAAACTAATGAACAACTGGATTTAGAAATAAATCTGCAATGATGAGTTGTAAAACAGCCCAAGAAGTTTAATCTTTGAATTTTTGAGAAAAAACACCTTTTCCTTTAATTGCCCTCAATTAGATCAGTATGGAAACACCCTCCCCTATTAATTAAAATATCAAAAAAGAAATTTTATATATGATGTGTCTGCATGAACACATACATGTCACAGAACAAAACACATGACAGGGGCTTCTGAGATTATCTCAGATCGCTTTCAAAGTCTGAGAAAGAGCTGTCACTGTTTACCTACAAAAAGAAGAAAATGTATTGTCGTCAAAATACTTTTTCTTTCTCCCCTCCTGTAAGAGCTAATTTCCTAATGAGGCCGCAGTAGAAGAGCTGCCCAGAAGCTGTTATGTCACCAGAACATGACCTGTGGATCCCTTCATTTCAAACCAGCAAACATGAAAAAGGCAAACTGAAAACCAGCTCTAATGGGAATCTGCTGCACTTTTTGCAACAGCTGACTAATTCTGTGTTAAATGCAAATCAGCTGTCAGAGACAGTACTGCTGAGGAGGTTAAAAAAGACTCTGCCTCTAGGTTCTGATACAACAGGAACACTTCCTCTGGCATTTTGCTCTTTCATGAAGCAGAGAAAGCATCAAAAAAAAGCCATGGAGATGGATGAAGATCCAAACAGGGTATTTCTTATGAGCTTTAAGACAGGATGTTCTATACAAGCTCCTCCCATGCACGAGCCTGTCCTACAGCTGGGCTGTAACTGAACCTCATTTCTGGTGTCTTCCCTTCATCCATATGTATGACAAGGTGAAGTGAAAGGGCCTGACTAGTAAGTACCACAGGGATGGAACATAATGAAGGAAGAAAAGTAGAGGAGGATATGTCAGTACCAAAGAATGTGCAATTTTCACTAACTCACATTTTATTAATATTTGTATTAATCATAGTTTCACAGTTAGACAATAGTAGTGTTAAGCTTTTCTCATACAAATTTTTTAATGCCATAGAATTTCCAGCTCACCCAAAAAGCAGAACAGACAGTGCCTATCCTGCATCACTGATCATTCTGTCTGTCTGGATCCACACATTTACTAACACCAAAATTCAGCATAGTATGTAAACCAGTAAATTATTGCTAATGTCAGAAACACCAGGACAATGCAATATAATGATCATTTTAAACAGACACAAAGACAAAAAAAAGGTGAATTCTGACATTTACAAAGATTCGTTCATTAGTTTAGAATGCCTAGGACCAGAGTTTTCAGGATATTTCATGTTAAATAAATTACTTAGAAATTAATGAGAATTATGTCCTGAACTGACAGCTGAAGCCATGAATTTATTCTACTCCTCACACCTTTCATGACCGCTCTCAAAGCCTGGGCTGCTGTTACCATTCTGATATAACACCATTAATTTCTAGTCCAGCAGATGTGAACATTTTCCTTAGGGATATTTCATGGTACTTAAAAATTAGTCAATCTAAATCTGCCAAAGGCTAAACAAAGTCTGTATAATTATATGGGAAAATTTTTTTCTTCTCCAGAAATACTAACTCTATAAGATATTTTCAGAGTTTATGAGAAGGAAAAACACCTTCTGCTTTTCTCACTTTCTTAAGTTGGTATTATATGGTTATGCAGTTCCTGTATTTGTCACCCAAAAGCACATTTTTAGTTTAGCTGCCTTGGATCTTATGATAATTCAGGTATTATTACATTTTTATCCCTTTAACATTAATAGAAAGCATTGAGAAATTTGCATACAGCAAAATAGACTTCAAAGCAGAAAAGCCACAGATAGCTAGAATTTACAGGTGGTCCTACAAAAAAAAAAAAGAAAAAGAAAAAATCAAAAGTAAACAAATAATTTCTTCACAGAATTTGTTAGAGGTCACAGCTAGTTAATATTTTGTTGTTGCAGAAAAATAATTTTAAAAAAAAGACCACACAATTAAAGTATCAAAGTTATCATTCATGCCCATTACACAATCACCACATCTTCCAGTGTCTCTGAACTCCCAGTAAGGGAACCCAAGAGCATAAATTCACTGTAACTTTCTTTGCTGCAGGTAAGTTTTTTCATATCACAATTATATATAGTGAAACATTTTTTAGACTGTTAATGTATTGTACCATAAAACAGCAGAAGAGGATCATATGTTAATGTCTTCAATTCTTGAAAATCTCTATTTTTAAAATACTTTTTTAACAGGTAGGATGATTTTACTACCAGCATAAGCTCTTTCATTTAATTAAACATTGCAGTTTATTACAGCATTTTGTACTCTATCATAACTGCTGCAGCATATTTAAATAAATTACCCTAATGCACACTCAAAATTCATTTTCAGGTTTGTTCACCCCCCCCCACATACTACAACTTTGCAGCACGAGGCTATGAAAGTGATTAGCACCCTATGTTCATTAACTAGGTCTCCTGTGTGGGTTTTGATGTATCTAATGGTCTCTTACAAGAAAGAGTAATGATATGCACGGAAAGTACAGCACAAGTAGGCTGTAAATCATGGGAAAATACTTAGAACATTGAATTAAGGGTAAGTGATCTTTACAGTTATTTATTCTTGTCTGTAAACAAAAGATATGGGAACACAGCAAAAATACTGATAACTTCAAATTATAGTAATTTATAAGTCATATTTATGTATATATACATCTGCATTTACACATAAAATTTATCCAGTAATTCAAAATATTGGCTTTTCTGCTGTTCTCTGCTTCACTGTCTGCAACAAGCAACTCCAAGCAACACATGCAATTAAACACTGCTCTTGAATATTCACAACATTTACAGAACAATATTTAATGCAGTCTTCTAAATTTATCATACAGAGTCATGGCAAGAGTCCTCTATCTCTATTTTTCTTTATTTATATTAAATTGTGCTTAATTGAGGTTAGAGATTTCAGTACTGTGATAAAGAGTAACAGCATCTTTTGTTAGGACAGGGATGCTCAGTTGCTGACTCTGCATCAGATCCAACTGGCACAACAACTTTTCTTCCCCTTGACAATGCTGCAGCCCCAAAAGTGCACTGCAACTGAAACTGTGCCCAGGATGGGGTCCTGTGGGCATCAGCTACATTTGCTGGTGGGATTTATCAACTCAAATACAGTGTTACACACTATGAATCTGTGAATCTTGCATATCACTGTCTATTCCAAACACTTGGCTGGGAAAAAAGTAGAATCTTAATCTTCCTATTGTTCTATTCCTTTTCTGGAGTTATGTGGTTGATTACCATCTTACTTTATTTTCCCAAGTTTTGTTAGTAATCAATTTTACATATGTTTCTTAGGGACTGGTTGCCTGACCAGTCTACTCCAAAAAATATTGTAGACAAGTGATTTTATATCTTACTAAAGCAGGAAATTTCTATTCTTACCTAAATTATGGCTATTTAGAGAAAAGTTAAAAAGCATTCCAAGTACCCTTGGAAAGTTTTACTACCTAAGTCAGTCAACCTAAAGGCACCTGAAGTAGCAGCACTGAAAATGATATACCTATCCCAGTCCTTGATGTTTTATGTGTGAAAAACCTGATGCTTCCTATGTGCAAAGCAGACTTTTAAAGTAATGCAATTTCAAAACAGTGATTCCATGTTTTTTGTTAGGTCTGCAGCTGTCCTATCTTCTCAGAACCAAAAAAACCCTTCAGCTGATTAAAGTACTAGTGTTGATTCATCATAAAACCTCATTTAAGAATACCTATGCAAACGGCCAATCTATAGAAGAATTCATAAAATCACTTACGAGGGTGGAATGACACAGTAATACTGACTTCTTTTTCTTTATACACACATCCACGCTTCAGACTAAATCTGAAAATACCATCTTCTATATTTTTGTCTGCATCATCAAAATTCAATTTCCAAATCAGAGTCTCTTTTGTGAGATTCTTCAGGACAAGGTTCTGTAAATATTTTCAGAAAAGGAGTGATGTTGAAAGAGGGAAAGCAGCAAACACTGTGATACTTTTCACATTGCTCTCTCCCAACCATTCTTTGTGCAAACACACCAGAGGGAAAGCAAGACAGCACTAGAAAGCAGTGAAGAAAGCAGTTTATTATATCTGTGGGGTGCAAAGGTGAGTATGCCTATCTGCACAGACCAGATGCTTTCCAGTCACTCACCACATTCACAAAGAGAGTATTTTATTTCCAGAATGGAAAAACCTTATTTAAGTGAGGTAAATAGATCAAAGCATCACAGTGGGAGGGCTCAGCCAAACAGAATTGAGGACTTATTCCCAAAAAAAAAGACACACAGCAAGCACTAAACACATGGCTCACATCTAGACTTACAGGTGGAGATGTTGAAAATGGAAGAAGTTCAGAATCAATTTTCAAAACCCATTCTTTCAATTCAATAAGATGACAGTGGAAACAAAAAATAAAATTAAATTCCTTTATCCCAGAGGTACTCTCTCAGCTTTTGAAACATGCCTAGCTAGGAATATGGCATGGCTTTGTATTATTATTGTTTCCTGAATGCACGTGAAAAAGCATTTCAAGTGTTTCCATCATTGCCAAAAATAATTTTTACTAATTTCTAACCAAAGCCCTCAGGAATTACAAACAATAAATTACGTTATGGTATACTTTGCATTCATATGAATTGCCTGTGTTGCAAATATTATATTTGGTTCCTTTTTTCCCCTATTAAGCCATAAGTCATGAGAAGGAATTTTTTGTGAGTGTCAGTTGGCACAGCACCATACAAGGCACTGGAACAGCAGTTTCACTGTATGGCCCATCATGGCAGAAATCAGTTGCATCCTGGCACCATCACTGTGTCATTTACTGGCATAGGCAGATGCAAAAAATCTTCAGAATTATTCTATTCATATTTATTTCTTACACAATTCATGGTCAATTTCTCATAGTACCCACATTTTCATACTGTCAGAGCTAGTACAAGACAAATTTTAAATTTTGGGAAAAAAATTATCAAAATCAAAAAATGAACAAAATGACAATGACAATAATGACAATGTCATTACCTGAGAATTCATACTCCCACGAGCAGTTCTGGAACACATGTTACTTGAATGTTGTTCAAATTTAAATTCCATCGAGGAGAACTCCAATACTTGTTGAGTAACTATTGAAAAAAACAATTTAAAATGTTTATCAGCATCATTTGACAAATATTTTCTCAAAGTACCGTCATAAAACCATTTTTACTGTACATGCTTAGGAAAAATATTTCTCCCCTTTTTGTTGTTCGCATATACACAATTACTGTAATTTAATTTTGTCTTATTATGATTCTTTAGTCACATTAAAGTTATTTAAATTTTATATCTACCAGACTTACAGCACCTCTCCTTCATATCACAAGAGCCACACAATCTTCTTTCTGCAGATGAATGCACTTACATTTCTGATAGTAACCATTAGATAAGACTTGGAAGATTTTATATAAACAGCACTTCTCTTTATTTCATAGAGCTGCAACAAAGAAATCATCACAACATATGAAATTCAAAAGTGGGAGTTTGGAAAAACAGAGGTATGTGCTCCCACAGCCTCATCTTACTGCTTGGAAACAGCACTGGAAATGAATCTAGCAAGAAGACAGGATTCTTTGAATAAAATCTGCACTTCTGCTCCATGGCCAGTGTTGATCAATTCTCTTCTCCTCCCAAAAAACCCAAAGAATTTCCCAACCATATATATCACAATATGTAAACAACAATATTATCTGTATTTCTCAATCATAGGCATAATATTGTTTCAAAGCTGGAACAGAATCTGCTGGAACTCTTCCACCAACACACAGCTATGTCATTCACTAAGTTTTGAGCTCACAAAGTCATCAGCTCTCTCAGAAACTGCCTGGAACAGGCAGCACAACTAAAACTGTTAGGGAAAGCAGATTATCTACCCAACCAAAAAACTGTGAGCTGGATTATTACAATATATATCAGTTCCCATGAGCTACATTGATAGTAAAAACTTTTTCTTTGTACCAGGTCTAGATTAGACTTGTGTCTTTTCCAGTTGAGTTTTCTGTTCTGGTTTCTTTGAGATTTTTCTCTTTCAGCTCTTTCTTACATACAGATAAACACTATCCCAGAGAAAATTCTTATAAGTATTATTCCTTCCCAAGTGCTGAAACCATCTCCAAATTTTGTGTAAAAAAAACCCAGATTCCTGATGGATTGAAAACATATGGACTACACTGAAGTTAAAAGACTGGACTGACTACCCCAAGAGTAGGTTGATTTTTTTCTCACGGTGAACAATCCTAAGTATAAACAGCAAATATAAGATATTGATTTAAGTGCCAACCACACTGTCCCATTCAGTCTGAACTCCACTAAACCACTAAAACTATCCCAGGAAAATAAAAATTCCAAAGGCAGAAAACAAATGTGCCAGAAAGCATTCAGCAGTGAGAGTTAGGCGTATTTGTTAAATCAGAACTTAGAACTTGCAAGATACATCTCACTCAGTTTTAGCTTTTAATGTGATAATATGAAATTATTTAATAACAAACATAATTTTTAAGTTGTCAGAATGTAATCAATTCATCAAGTTCTTTTTTTAACAGTAAAAATAATCTGGCTATTTGCCTGCACACATGTGATTATCTGAAATACTAAGTGGTCAAGAGACTTATTNAAAAAAAAGACCACACAATTAAAGTATCAAAGTTATCATTCATGCCCATTACACAATCACCACATCTTCCAGTGTCTCTGAACTCCCAGTAAGGGAACCCAAGAGCATAAATTCACTGTAACTTTTTTTGCTGCAGGTAAGTTTTTTCATATCACAATTATATATAGTGAAACATTTTTTAGACTGTTAATGTATTGTACCATAAAACAGCAGAAGAGGATCATATGTTAATGTCTTCAATTCTTGAAAATCTCTATTTTTAAAATACTTTTTTAACAGGTAGGATGATTTTACTACCAGCATAAGCTCTTTCATTTAATTAAACATTGCAGTTTATTACAGCATTTTGTACTCTATCATAACTGCTGCGGCATATTTAAATAAATTACCCTAACGCACACTCAAAATTCATTTTCAGGTTTGTTCACCCCCCCCACATACTACAACTTTGCAGCACGAGGCTATGAAAGTGATTAGCACCCTATGTTCATTAACTAGGTCTCCTGTGTGGGTTTTGATGTATCTAATGGTCTCTTACAAGAAAGAGTAATGATATGCACTGAAAGTACAGCACAAGTAGGCTGTAAATCATGGGAAAATACTTAGAACATTGAATTAAGGGTAAGTGATCTTTACAGTTATTTATTCTTGTCTGTAAACAAAAGATATGGGAACACAGCAAAAATACTGATAACTTCAAATTATAGTAATTTATCAGTCATATTTATGTATATATACATCTGCATTTACACATAAAATTTATCCAGTAATTCAAAATATTGGCTTTTCTTTTCTGCTGTTCTCTGCTTCACTGTCTGCAACAAGCAACTCCAAGCAACACATGCAGTTAAACACTGCTCTTGAATATTCACAACATTTACAGAACAATATTTAATGCAGTCTTCTAAATTTATCATACAGAGTCATGGCAAGAGTCCTCTATCTCTATTTTTCTTTATTTATATTAAATTGTGCTTAATTGAGGTTAGAGATTTCAGTACTGTGATAAAGAGTAACAGCATCTTTTGTTAGGACAGGGATGCTCAGTTGCTGACTCTGCATCAGATCCAACTGGCACAAGTTTTCTTCCCCTTGACAATGCTGCAGCCCCAAAAGTGCACTGCAACTGAAACTGTGCCCAGGATGGGGTCCTGTGGGCATCAGCTGCATTTGCTGGTGGGATTTATCAGCTCAAATACAGTGTTACACACTATGAATCTGTGAATCTTGCATATCACTGTCTATTTCAAACACTTGGCTGGGAAAAAAGTAGAATCTTAATCTTCCTATTGTTCTATTCCTTTTCTGGAGTTATGTGGTTGATTACATCTTACTTTATTCTCCCGAGTTTTGTTAGAAATCAATTTTACATATGTTTCTTAGGGACTGGTTGCCTGACCAGTCTACTCCAAAAAATATTATAGACAAGTGATTTTATATCTTACTAAAGCAGGAAATTTCTATTCTTACCTAAATTATGGCTATTTAGAGAAAAGTTAAAAAGCATTCCAAGTACCCTTGGAAAGTTTTACTACCTAAGTCAGTCAACCTAAAGGCACCTGAAGTAGCAGCACTGAAAATGATATACCTATCAAAAACCTGATGCTTCCTATGTGCAAAGCAGACTTTTAAAGTAATGCAATTTCAAAACAGTGATTCCATGCTTTTTGTTAGGTCTGCAGCTGTCCTATGCTCTCAGAACCAAAAAAACCCTTCAGCTGATCAAAGTAAGTACTAGTGTTGATTCATCATAAAACCTCATTTAAGAATACCTATGCAAATGGCCAATCTATAGAAGAATTCATAAAATCACTTACGAGGGCGGAATGACACAGTAATACTGACTTCTTTTTCTTTATACACACATCCACGCTTCTGACTAAATCTGAAAATGCCATCTTCTATATTTTTGTCTGCATCATCAAAATTCAATTTCCAAATCAGAGTCTCTTTTGTGAGATTCTTCAGGACAAGGTTCTGTAAATATTTTCAGAAAAGGAGTGATGTTGAAAGAGGGAAGCAGCAAACACTGTGATACTTTTCACATTGCTCTCTCCCAACCATTCTTTGTGCAAACACACCAGAGGGAAAGCAAGACAGCACTAGAAAGCAGTGAAGAAAGCAGTTTATTATATCTGTGGGGTGCAAAGGTGAGTATGCCTATCTGCACAGACCAGATGCTTTCCAGTCACTCACCACATTCACAAAGAGAATACTTTATTTCCAGAATGGAAAAACCTTATTTAAGTGAGGTAAATAGATCAAAGCATCACAGTGGGAGGGCTCAGCCAAACAGAATTGAGGACTTATTCCCAAAAAAAAAGACGCACAGCAAGCACTAAACACATGGCTCACATCTAGACTTACAGGTGGAGATGTTGAAAATGGAAGAAGTTCAGAATCAATTTTCAAAACCCATTCTTTCAATTCAATAAGATGACAGTGGAAACAAAAAATAAAATTAAATTCCTTTATCCCAGAGGTACTCTCTCAGCTTTTGAAACA